CTCGGTGTAGGCTAATATTTCTGTATTGATGGATCGACATTGGACTTACCATGCTAGGGATCCCGGCGATGATGGATCATCCGGTCCTCCGTTGTACATACAGGGTATCCAATTTTATTGGTTAATTTCATCTCCTGCTGTAACAATGCAATTTCAACATGAGAATATGAAAGACATTCGGTTGTTATTGTTGAATTTTCCTACAAAAAAGTCTTTCTATTGACTAATTTTCTCTTACGAATTAATTAACTATTGGGTTTATTGTATATAAAAGTCACCACCGTGTATACCAGTCGCGTCATTAAATAACGAGATATAAATAAAATGTATTTCCATACGTTGACAATGGAATGCACACGTTCATTTAAAATAGTTCAATAATTGAGAGGTGATAAATTTCCTCATTTAGTAATTAAGAATGTCATTACGGGAGAGGTTTTTAGTCTGTGATACGCCTCACCGAAAGTCGAATGGATTAATGTTTGGACTATCTAGTGGCTGAAATAGCAACAATTAAAATGCTAATTTAATTTGGTACATACACTTTTATACAATGGTGGGTCGATGTTTCAATTATCTACAAACAAAATCTTATCAAAATAAATTCAAACTAATAAATCTCCTGTTCTTTTAATTCTCCTCAGGTCTTAGGACTACTAATAAATAAAAATGTAAAAACACCTAAGTATCATCGATAGTTAATCTTTTTCCGGATTCGAGAGAAGAAAAGAATGCGAGATATACGAGGCACTAAAATAGAATTTCGATTGTTTGAATGTCTTCTATTATTGTCGAGCTTAAACTCCGGGATTTGTAAGTTGTAAGCATTGAAAAGTGTTGTAATTGTACGAGATTTACATCCATAGTTAACTTTTAGATGGTTATAAAGTTATTTTCGTGTGCATCCGTCAATCCCCAGGCATCGAGAAAAAATCGACCTAGACCCGATAAATCGTATTGTCTATTTTAATTGTTATTAATATACAGGGTGGTTTAATTAGAAGAAAATATGTATGAGTAAAATTTGAACAACGAAACATGCTTGTCGGTATTTGTAGAATTTCTGTTAATAAGAAAATAACCGAATACCCGACGACTACTAAAGAAATTCCTTTGGAAATTCTTCTGGATAAAACTCACTTACCGAAAAATAACGACTCCGCGATAACGCTACATCCTTATCTAACCCCGACGAGAATTCCTGAAAAAGATTTAACGTTATTTACATCGCCCATACGCCGCGCATACGCTAAACTCTTTCAAAACAACATAAATAATGAAATTTCTTTTAATGCCTTTTATTTTAACAACGTAATCTTATCCACGACAAACAGAAACGCATAACAATGAAATTAAATCAGATTCTCGACTCGAATACGTTAAGGAATTCACTACAAAATGTCAGTTTAGTGTTTCTTGCTCATTTCGTTTGTTATATTGTCTACTATACGAGGGTATCTCGAAAGATTTTACTACATATATCTTATATTCTTCAGAATTCACCTTCAGAGTTCCACCACTGTTTGCGGTAATTTTTCACCGTTTTGTTTGACAAAAAAAAAGCTGACAAACGTACTAGTTTCGTTTGTCTCGAAGGTGGTGTTTCATTCCGTTTGTTTATGACGGTCGTTGTGAAAAGACACCGTTTATGGCCATGTGATTTAATAGCGACTTTTGGCAAAATACAGAGACATTTCCATTTCCAACGGAAAATATATGGTATAGGTGAAACGAAATGCTGCATACCTAAATTATACAAATTAATATAGGTATTTATTTATCGAGTTCGGTATAATGAGAACATAATTTAAGCCGTTGGACATCGAAATAATTTTTCAACACAACTCTATTCCAACGCGCTTTAATCAGGCCAATAAACAAAACTAATACCTTATACACTCTTTTGAGTACGTTTCGTGGTTATAAATCAAGCCAGACTCTCACGTGATGTTATTAATCGAATAAATCATTTCTTTTCTATGCAATCCGAGATTTATAAAGGTCACTTCTATCACACATTAAACACCTCTTCGATTCGTTTAGAACCATCAACATAAAATCCACCCTTCCCTAAAACGCGCCAACACGAATTTATCTGTTAACAAAAGCCCCGTACAAAAGTGATACTCCGATATTCATGTCTTCACGCCCGATAAACAACACCTTCGTATCAATACCTGACCCCATTAAGTCCTGCTATGGGACGTTACATTATAGAAGGATCGAGATAAATCGGAGCGAGAAAGCGGAAGGGAAAACACACACACACACAGACGTGTCTTTATTTTAACTACCCTTTCGATGTATTCGTGTTGTATCGTTTCTTGGACCATTGAGTTTATCTCGGATGAAATAATGGGTCTCGCGCCGACGGGTTCCCAGCCAGTATTGGTTTCTAGATGTTGTTTTAGTGGGAAAAAATGCGTTTGATATTACCTATATTGCGTTAAGAGAGTCGCTATCAAACTGGTTCTTACAGTCGCAACTTGTAAACATTTTATATTGAAATAAAAATAAGATGGTTTGTGGAACAGGAACAGAAGCCGATCCTGTTTACTCCACACATCTTCCTAAAGCGTTTAAGGGGAGTATTTTTAAGATAAATCCCGAAAATACCCAATATAGGCGTATCTTTACAGATTGTTAAACTTTAACTAGAAATTGATCTGGGTCTATAGGAGTGAATAAACTATCTCGAGCCACTCGTAGACGGTCGATCGGACCGCGACCAGACCACCCATTCCTTTTAACAAGCATTCATATGACTAATAGCACAAGATTACTGTAATAAGCGTGTCATTACGGGAAGCAAAAGTCCCGCCGCGTAGATGGGCAAACCCTTAATCATAATTATTGCGTCGGACACCTTCGATGCCCTAATAATGGATCCGAATCCGCGCTATCAACGTCTTGTTAACCCGCCAGCGGCGGGTCCTTGGGTAATCCTCAATCATAAACTCAGAAATATAATCAAAGTAAAATCCTTCGAGACTTCATAAAGAAGTGTCAGGTATTTTTCGAACGCCTCGTTCGTAATCGCCTTGTAATTGTGTAAAGGATTAAAAGCACAAATAAAAAAAAATGTAAATAAACTAAATGTCCGGATTATCTGGCATTCCAAGGCGTCGTAAAACGTCTTAACTGATGCCTTGTACTAATTATCAAAATTGTTTGAACAATATTTTTTTTTTCGAGTGAAATTTATTGAGCTTGCGATCAAACAAAAGGGGATATCACAGCGCGCAAGATAGAAATTGGTCAATATGTAACCTAGTTTGCTATAAATAACTGTGGAGTACTTATATTTCTTGTAATTTAAAAATTACTTAAACTAATCCCTTTGTTTATCCTCTTCGATATCCTAAAGATATGGATCTAATCTAAATGAATACAGAATAGAACGCAAAATGTCAATGGTAAAATTTCAATTTTCTTATTGACATTTTCAATCATCTTATATTACTGTATAAATATTAAAAAGCTTTACAAGGGTTATTCAATAGACGATTGATCGCTTAATATAAATTTTGAGTACATAATATTCGACTTTGAATCAATATACTTACATAAAGGTAAGGTTGTATTTGATTTATCTCGAGAGATGACTGGTAGAAATTATTGCAGGTAATTTGTATTTACTTACTAATAGTTAACATTGCATACAACGAAAATCGATTAAATTAGATGAGTTTGGTGTATTTTCGAATGAAATTATTTCTCCCAGTGTAAAATAATTCGAACCTATAATAAAAAGTTGGTTAATAAAACGAGGTTACACCTTCAAGCTCATAAGTTAAACAAATCATAGATATTGTTTTTTATGAACAGATATCTTTCGGTCTTCGGATTTTATTCCCAGTCATTAATGCGAGTATTATAACCCTTTACTTTGAAACAATTTGGAATGATTCGATCGTAAATAACATTTAATGATCGAATCGTAGATTTTTGTATACCGGGGCCGTTCGATAGTAAAAAAGAGTAGGTTTTTTAAACAAAATAAAAGTTCATATTTATCTGCTTGTAGTTATTTAAGTACACAATAAATGTATAAATTCCTTAGCAAAATCCAATAGATTTTCGCAAGTCATTGGAAAAGTAAGTCGCACTCCCAAAACAGTAATAAATTTGACGATAATCAAATGAAATTTATTATCTTGTCGAAGTAGTAAATTAGCAACTTACTGTTAAAATTTCAAGGAAATGATACTTGGGGAACGACCGAGGAAGTATAGTTAATCTGAAATTTTCGCTGAAAACTATGCATTTTTCCTGTAGGTATACATAGATAATCTTCTGTACACAGATAAAAATAACGCGCTAATTAAATAGGAATTTAAGATGCAAAGTCATATATTTTAATTGTTTGTATAAATATTTGCTATCGGTTACCTAAACATTAATTAATAAATTATTCTACCTTCCTAATTTACATATATGTGAAATTCCTGGGTAAATAAATAAAACCTGAAAATTCGATATTTTTCTCACCTTAATTCGAAATTGTAGTGGATAAAGACGATGTAACACTTATGTAAAATATGTTTAAAAATTGTCTGTTTAATAGTGAAATTATAAAACAGGGATAATACAATTGAACTATTTTAAGAAAATAGATATCAAGACAAATAAATAATAATTATTTTCTGCAAATTAAAGCCGAATTTAAATATAGGCAAATAATTGAAATGCAACGCTTATAACTAAAACTACAAATACAGGAATTCAATATGGAAGTTATAAATGAAATTAAATATGATTGAAATTAGGACAAATAATAATAACAATTTTGTAATTTTACTGTTAAAAATGCAACAAATTATCCAAATTTTTGCTTACCCTGTAATCTACTGGACGAATATTGAAGCAAAACTAAAATTTGGAAACATCTCTCTAGTTGTTATAAGTAAAACTGTCAAAAGTCAATAGATGGCGTTAATGTTTTCCTGTCATTTATCAAAAACGTCAATTGTCAAACACATCAAATTATAACCTCATTAAAATTACATATTAATACATCAAGAAGATTATAAAAAATTACGCCAAAATAAACACTTAGTAATTAATGTAGTTAGACAGTGCACAAATAATAACCTCGTATAATGGGCTAAAAAAGGAAATCGCTCAATAAAATTCAAATCTGATTTTCTCCTATTCGAAATTTTTGGTATAAGAGGAGTAAAAATGAATGATTCCAAGGAAAATTCTGGTTTCAAAAGTTACATAGCGGGCGAATCCGAACTTGAAGTACGTATAATTGAATTAATTACATAATTAATTGGATAATTAATTTTGAAAAATAGATAGTTTGTAATACCCTCTTATTTTGTAGTCTATAAACTTAGAAGATGCTCAGAAAACCAAATTTCTGGAAGGTAAGTTTTCCAGTTTTTTTACATTAACTAAAAAATTCCTCATAATCTAATTAGCCTTGGGAATGAGTTCACAGACAGCTTTGATATATCTCCTTTCTAATATAACAAAATCTCATGATTAATAACAATAACAATTAATTTATTTTTCAGGTGAAACTCTCGTAGACGAAGAACCAAATGTACTTTTATATTTCCCTCTAACCGATAGAAATAAATATCTAACGGGAACTTTAACAGTAACGACATTTAAGCTGTCATTTGTCACCTTCAAAGAATCTTCGACATCATCAAGTTACCTGGAAAATCTCCTGTTAGGCCCCAATGAAGTTTGTTTGTCTTGCATCGATCGGATATATCAATTAGGCGATAGAACGAAGAAGAAATTGATGCCGGGCCAAAGCTTGCCCGCTGGGAAAATCAAGGATATATTGATCGTTTGTAAAAATATGAGAAGTTTCGAGTTCGGTTTTCGAAATTGCGGGAAAAACGGCGGAAGGAAAATTCTGAATGCTCTGTTGCATCACGTTTATCCAAAAAGGCACTCGTTGTTGTTCTGTTATGATTATAGGTAGAGTTTTTGGATATTTTGTACTAAAAAACTTGTAATTTTCTATTTATTTTTTAGACAACCATACGTAAATGAAAGCATACACAAGGAAGCCAAATTATTTCGAAAATCCTCCGATTGGGAGAAGGAATTAAAACGAACGAAATGTCAAAATTGGCGTTTGTCCATGGCCAACTGCAATTTCCAAATTTCCCCGTTATTAATAGAAACAATGGTGATTCCTCAAAGTGTTAGCGATACGATTATCAAGGAGGCCGTGGAGAAATTTAGAAACAGATTTTGTCCCATATGGGTAAGTGGAAACAAATCTGTTTTTACTACTAAATTTACACCATATTATTTAGGTATGGGGGACACAAAATGGCGCCGCCTTGATCAGAATGGCCGATCTTCTACCGACCATCTCGGATCGCACGGAGGAAAATAAATTCCTCGAACACATAAGGAAAAGCCACCCCGATAAAAAACAGCCGCGAATCATCGATTTGTCATGGCCCACTCCGAAAGACATAAGAATTAGCTACCAAAAACTGCGAGACCTTTGCATTCCAGAGACTACTAGATCGTTCAAGCAGCAGGATTTTAAGTTTTACGGCCTACTAGACGGGACGAAGTGGTTGAATTATGTCTCTGCTTGTTTGTCTAAAGCCGTGGAAGCTGCTGAATATTTGAATGTTCATAATTCTACGGTAGTTTTGCAGGAAGGTGAGACTAATATTTGTACACTCTGTTGGGTAACTATATGATCAAGTCTGAGGTAGTTTTATCGGAAAATTGTAATTATCTCGAAAAGTAGAAGAGATAAACAAGTAATTTTTGTTGCATAATGTAGAAATAAACTTTTACAACGATTTATGAAGAATGAAAATTTGGCAAAAATCGCCTCATTTTCGAGTTATTTCGACTTTTTAACAACTCTTTCGTATGTTCCAGGTACCGGCCAAGATTTGAACTGCGTGGTATCCAGTCTAACGCAATTAATTCTGGATCCGTATTCCAGGACGAAATTCGGTTTCCAGTCGCTTATCCAGAAGGAATGGTTAGCATTGGGACATCCGTTTGCCAATCGTTTGGGCCACGTTCTGTCCAAGGAAATCGAACAATCTCCGATTTTTTTGTTATTCCTGGATTGCGTCTGGCAAATCATCCAGCAATTTCCTCAGGCTTTCCAGATAAACGAGACTTATCTAACGACGCTTTGGGATTCGGCCCATTTGACTGTGTTCGAAACGTTTTTGTTCAATTGCGAACGGGATAGATTTCTAGTCGAAAGCGTAAGTTTGTGTTCAATTTTTCCCACATATCTAGTACAATTTTCCATTTTTCTTGAAGCATTCTCCGAATTTTCGAAGCCTTTGGGACTGGAAAGAACAATTCGCCGAGAAAGATATCGTCCTGTTTTGCAACCCCCTGTATAATGACGGGTATTTGGACGTTCTACCAGTTCAAAGCGGTTTATCGTGTTTAGACATTTGGACACAATGCTATTTCAGGTAATTTAATATACAGGTGGAACAAAGACAACTTCCATTAGCCTCATATGAAGGAAAAGGAAAGAGTGGTATTGTTCGATTGCAGCTATCTCACTCTAACGACTGTTATTATAATAATCTCTCTTTGTTCAACTCATTGAAATAACCATATTAAATTTATTTTAATATTTTTCCAGATGGCTTCCAGATTTGGAAATTCCCAAAGGTGGGAAACCCCAAATAGACCTTTTCAGTCGTTATTTGGTCTCGGAGATTCTTCAAATTAGAGAGGATTCTCAAACTAGGGAGAATTCGATTCAAAGGGTCAACGGTCAATCGAAGAATAATAAAGAAAATTACGTGGAATTGATGAGAAAAGTCAACGGGTTTTTCCCGTTCGGGGGGAATTTGGGTGTTATAACGATAGAGGGCGTTGAAAGCGTTTTATTGACGGGGGATAATTTGGATTCGCAGAGTATATTGAATTTTAATGATTAGTTTTTTTTTTGAAAAGTGCCTTTTCGATTGTAATTATCTCGAAAAGTAGTGGAGATAAAAGTATTCAGTTTTGTTCATATTGTAGGAAATTCAATTCTCTACGATTTTTGGAGAATAGAAATTTTTTGGAAATAGTGTAGTTTTCGAGATATTTCGAGTTTTTTATCCTTTTGCACAATTTAGGACAATTTGATAACAAATCTTAATTATCTCGAAAGATAGTAGGGATGGATAAAGCAAATTTTCACATTTTTGTAAAGAAAAGCTTCCTCTACAATTTCGCTATTTAAAAAATATCGAAAAAACGCCTAATTTTCGAAACTTTCTCATTTTTCTTACCCCAAAAATTTCATTTCCTTACATTTTTCCAAGTATTAATTGTTTAGGTTTACTTTTCATTGCAACTAAGGTATTTTTTGTACAGGTAGATTTTAATTTTGGGTGCCAAAAAACATTACTGTATATTTAACAAACACGAATTAATTTTAAGTTGTATTTTATATTTCACTCTGTATACTTGTAAAAATTTTCGAGTAATAAATAGGCGAAATCACTAATATTTTCCCACCGTTTATTCCCAACACTATATAATCCTGTTAGCGAACTGCCTAAATCTTAACGATAAGATTATTTACAAAAATATAGTCTTGTTTACATTCCAGTTATCGAAGTTTTCTATCCATCTTCAATTAACACTTAACAAATACAGTTAAACAAGCGGTATATATGGAGAAATTTCGATAAGACCTGCCCAAAAAAAATGAAACATCTTATTCCTGCAACCTTTTGGGCAATACTGCTACAATATTCCACCCAAAACGAGCTAGATTCTCCTTTGAGCAGGCAAAAGAGGTACTTGCTCTTCCCTCCCAGAGGAGGCACCAACATCATCCAGGTAATATCCAGAATTTACAACGATTTATTTAATTATTACCGCGAATTATAGTTGATTATCGGGTTGAGTTTACCGGTAGAAGTCAGTCCGGAATCGGTTACGATAGGATGGGATTTCCGGGCCTTTTACGTGTTACCTACAAACCTCTCCGAGTTACAGTACGATGATTACGGAACCGATCGACAGAAACGACACATCTCTCGATGGAACTTGTACGAAATGCTGGAGCACGAGGCTCATTCGTAAAGTATAATTTCACTTTAATTCCCGCTATTATTTACCCCGTTTACAGGAGAGGCTACGATGGTAGATCCTGCGTACTCAAATCGATATGCCAAGCTTCCGATACTCCTCTGAATAAACAACACGGACTGTTCGAGGAGATTTTCCACACGATTTTCACGTGAGTTGTGTTTCTCATTTTCCAATAGTAATGGCTGTAGAATTTTATAATAACAGGCCGACGAGCACCGACGAAGAGCTGGATCGACACACCGATAACGAATACTTCGCAGCTCGGTTGATGGGCAAGAGAAATAGAGGAAAATGCGATGTATTGTTCCCCGAATGCGAGGTTTCCTTGATGGATCTGTTTTCCTATTCGCTAGATTAACATTTAAAAAAATCAAGCAGATAATAGATTATGTTATGTAACGTTTATTTCCGTTGTACTTAAATAATAATATTACATCAATGGCTACTATATTTCTCTTTTAAGACACCTTAGTATTTCGGTGCGGGGCTCTGGGCTTGACTGTAGTTCGGCGAGTAGAATTTGTATTGCTTGTCCCTGAAGTGTTCGTTGGAGATTTCGCCCGTTCTGTTCCATTGGACATCGGGATTTCTCAGGGCCAGTCTAGCGGTGTAGAAAACGGCACCGGCGCAACCAATTCCCACGAACACGTACAAGGGAATTAGGGCCTTGTGTTTTTGCAGCGATTTAAATGACATTCCCTGCATTTTGCACTAGGTATTTTGATTCTTTTTCACGATAAAAATGTATTACGAGAACGACGTGAAGTATGATTTAGATGATCTGTCAATTGTCATTTGTCATTACTCATTACCACTCTTTTTTTTTGTATGGACTTTGCTACTGTGGTTGTTTGGTCTTACTGGTTAATCGATTAATTTGTTGGAGGTAATGCTATTCGAGTTTAATTTGATTGAGTAAATTATGATTATGTCGCCTACATGAACAAAAACAGTTTTTGTAGTCCTATAAACTTATTAGATGTGCAATAAACATATCGGTGTAAATTGTGTTGCATAAGTCAACATTTTTTAGAACAATGATATTTGAATATACATTAGAATAGTAGCAGATCGTTTTTTTATACGAATTTTTCTTAAAATACATTATCATTATATTACATAATAATTTCAAGCTTATTTTGTTTATTAAAAAAAACTCTAAACAAATAATCACTTTCTATTGGTGGAAAAGCTGAAAGCTGACAGATTGACAGATTATCAGTGCTACCAACAGACATCAAATTATTATTATTTATTAAAGAAACTCTGCTTTGCCGCGGCATAAAATAATATTAACGAACGGATTCATTGTTTTAATTTATCCATACGGTTTCATTTGTGTAAGGTGAGCTTCGCAAAATCGAAATATATGTTAAAATTACGAATTCTCCATTTTGATATATGTTGGCAACATGGCGACGCCAAACAGAAGATAAAAAGTACGATGTACGTTTGTGACAAGTATTATTCTTAACTTTAGAGCTTTTATGAATAAAAACACTAAGCGTAAGCATTCACCTACGTTAAAACTGCGAAAAAAGCCACCAGTATCAACCCGAAGCTGCGCTAATTAGTAAGTATCCAACAAACCCTTTTCTAGCCAATGTTTGTACAATGAATTTCTACCGTACATTAGAAGTTAGCAAATCACTAACTATCCCGCCCGTTTTAGATTCATAAGCCCTACTAAAGCCGTTCTCGCCCGCAACAAATCGCGAAAATGACTGAAGAATCATTCACCGACTACAAAGATGGGGACATCGTTTGGGTGAAGCTGGGCTCCCGTTGGTGGCCCGGCGAAGTCAAAGACTTAAGCAACTTAACACCGGACGAAATGGCCTTCAAGAAATCACCACTAGCCATCGTTCAGTTCTTCGAAGAAGATGCATTGTAAGATATTATTAATCAAACTCGTGTAATGAAAGAGTTCTACGTTTATTTTGTTTTAGTGAGTACGTTCGAAACTGGTCCAACATTTACCCATACAGTTGCAACAGGAAGATAGAATTCATTAAAAAAGGAATGAGTAAGTGTGGAATTATAAACAGTAGTAGTCGAATAATAATTGTTTGTTTTGCAGACGCTTTTCGATCGAACGTACCCAACATGGAAAAATTCCCCAAAGACGTGACGACAGCGGAGATAAAAATCGGAGGCAACCCGAACATCCTAAGCGATCCCTCTTGCAGCGTGGAAAAAAGGAAAAGCTACGGAGAATCGTACGGATCCCCGAAACGGCTCGGAAAAGACTCCACCAAGAAACAACGCTCCTCATCCAGTAAGCTCACTCCCGTTCGATCGCCTACAAATCACTAATCCTTCGAATTTTAGAGATGCTCCCGAAGGATAACACGCACGTAACGCACCGGCGATTCCTCGGAGTCGACGACTACAAAGCCTACATTTGCATCCAGTACCCCGGCAAGGACCGGAAGCCCGGCGAAGACGAAGAAGTCGCGCGCATCAACGCCGAACCCGAGCAGGAGTACAACTGCAACTCCTGCTCGTACTCGACGAGGCGGCTCGAGGTGATGGTGATGCACATGAAGTCCCACATACAAGGCATCTACGTGTCCAGCCCTAAGAGAAAGCGATCGGTGGCTCCGAGGCCGAAGAAGAAAGAGTACTCGAAGAAGCGACACGCTTACTCGGAGGATTCCGACGAGGATCTCTCGCCGCCGCCCAAGGAAAAGAAGCCGAAGGTCGCTAAATCTAGCACTAAGAAATTGATTTTGGAAGCCGAGATCAAACCGAAACCCAAGCCGATACCTTCCGCCGATATCCGAACGGATTTGTTGGCCGAATGGGAGGATTCCGATGAGGAAAACGGCAATTCGACGTTCGAAGAACCGGCGGATATCAGCGGAATAGCGAAACTAGACGAAGATAATAAAGAATCCGAAGACGAACGAAACGATAGCGTAAAAGAACCGTCGAAAATCCAAATGGACAAAGACACTCGAGATGCCATCAAATCGTGCTTCGATTTCGACGAAGAAGAAGACGAAACCGACCTAATAACCACGCCGGTAGAACAAGGTAGGAAAATTCCTCGCGTAATTCCCCCAACCGAAAAGAGAAAATCCGATGTAACAGACGATGTAGTAGAAGAAGAAGAAGACCCTAATAAAGATCCCCCGAAGCAACCGGACGAATTGGAAACCGCCTTCGAGGATCTAATGGAAGCCACGTCGGTGCCCGAGTTGCCCGAAGTGGAAAACTCCCTGAAACCGGCCCAAAATTTTCACGTAGTCACGACGATAAAATTTCCGGATAAACCGGAGGAGTCTCCAGTGAAAGAGCGCGAGAAGAGCGCGCCGATCAATCCGAAGAAGCGCTTCGTGAAGAGCTTCGAGCACTTCGAGAATCAACTGCAACAGGAGGAGTTGCGGAAGAAAGAGGAGATGGAGAATTCGAAGAAACGCGCCGAGGCTACCGAGCAGGTTTTTCAGGATAGTAAGGGCTCTTGTACCGAGCAGGAAAAGAGCTCTGTCAACGAGGAAGACGGCGAGCATACAGAGAATAGCATCGATTTGAGTAAGCTGCAGAAGAACCTCAGATGGAAGATTAGCAACCATCGGTATCCGACTAGGAGGTCTACTAACAGCGCAGGCGAAACGGAAACGAAGCCTAAGAAGGAGAAGAAAACTGTTAACAAACCTAAAGATAATTGCGAAACTAAACCGGAGGAGGAGCCGTCTTTTTTATCCGATTGGAATGACCTTATCGAAGAAGATAAAATTAACGAAACCAAAGCGAAAACGGAGAAGAAAACGAAACGTTCGAAATCAAAACCAGATATCGAATCGCCGCCCGTAAACGTTTCCCTACCGGTAAAAATCGACAAAAACCTGGTCTTCGAAGTCGCAAAACCAGAAGAGAAACTTCCTAACGAAGAAGAAGAACCTAAAATGATAGATGAAGAGCACACTAAAGAGGAGGAGCACACTAAACAAGAGGAGCACGCTAAAGAGGAGGAAGATCCTGCATTATCAAACAACAGCCTCAAAGAGCCCGAAGATATCGCAGTACCCAAAGAGAATCCCAGCGAAACCGAAGATAAATCTTCGGACGAGACTCTTCGCAAAGAAGGGCCCGCGATAAAATCGCACAAACGGAAAAAGGGCAAGAGGAGATCGAAGTTTACGGTGAAGAAGAAACGGAGATCGAGCGGTTACAAAGAGGCTACCGAAACCGAAGAGGAGCCCTCGAAAATTCCTTCGGATATCGACCAAGGAAAAGAAACAAACCCCGCAGAAGAAGTGTCTGATAACAAGGAAGCACAAATTGACGACATTCAAGATGATACTTGTACGATAATAGAAAAAAATGTTGCACAAAACGATGGAAATTTAACATCGAACGATGAAGATGCGAATGTAAACGAATCAATGGAAGATGTTAAAAAAGATTCGGTTGATACTGAAGACAATCAACTAATAAACGATGTAATAGAAAGCGAAGATTCCCTTCCAGTTGGTACCAAAGAAAACGATACAGTCATCGAAGATGAAACGAAAGATAACGAAGAAATAGAAGCGACAATAGAGGAGTCAATTGTCTCGAAATCGAGCGAAGAGCAAGAAAATTGCGATAAACTCGACGACATAGAAGAACTACCAATCAACTCTCCTATTGTCACAGAAGAAGTAATAGAAACCGAGGAAAATAAACCTGAAACACCTACAATTGTAGATGATACTAATAACGATTGTTCGGCTAATAAAGAAGATATAGATGTAATCGAAGAAATCGATATAAAATCCACGGAAATCGAAGAAACAGCTAATCGAGAAGAAGCACCTTTCGTCGATTCGAACGATACATCAACAGAACCATCGAACGATAAAGTGACTGTAGAAGATTCCAGCTTAACGAAAGAGGTCGTTTCTCGATTCATATCCGAAGAACAAAGTTCGGTTTTCCTACAAGACGCTAATGCGCTATCCCAATCGAATTTAGCAAGCGAAAATGGAGAATCCAAAGGAGAAGTAGAAGAAGAAGCAGGCCCGAAAGAGGTGGAAGTGACGCACGATTCCTTCAAATTCTCCATACAAACCAACCTATCGAATCTATCCAGAAGCGAGGAGATCTCCGCCATAGCTCTAGCCACTTTGTCCGAAGCGAAATCCGACGAATCTCCGGCCGTTCCGCCGCCAATCGGCGAACCGACCGCACCCGAGCGACTATCCGACACGGAAATGGTGGCCATCGAAGGCAACCTGACGGTCATGTCGGAGCAAGATCTGGCCGACGCGCAGGTGGAGATCACCACCGATCCGGTGGCGGCTTCGAAGAAACCCGCCACGTTCTCGGTGTTCTCCATGGATTTCCCCGACGATACCGATCGGAGCGAATCGAATCGAAAACCCGCCGAGTTCCACCCGCCGTTCCCCGACGATATAACCGACTTCGAAGAGTGCATACCGTCGCAAATCGTCTGCACCAAGCAATTCAACGACGAGTTGAAGAAGAAAGACAGGAGCAGCACCAGCATGATATCGACGACGTCGAAGTTGCTGGAGCGATTGACCGAAAGCAAAACGGACAAGACGAAACCCGTCATATTGTCCGAACAGATCGTCAAACCGGCGCAAACCGGCCCGAAAAAAAGCAACCATGACGCGCCTAGTACTAACAGTAACGGCGGTAGTACCGTCGAAGATATCGAAGACGTCGAAGCGTTCGTTATACACAAGGATATGAAGAGAGCGGAGCCGGCGGAGGAGCCCAAAGTGGCGCCGGTCAAATCGACGAGGAAATCGAAAACCAAACCGGCCGGTAAGGCTAAAATCCTGCAACAGACCATCATAACGCCCGCCGGGGAGATCCTGCAACCCACCACCGGGTCGTGCAAAAAACCCGTCGCGAGGTAAGTTCGCTGTAGTCGGTGTAGCTTGTTAATATTAAATAACATTCAGTAGGTATTCGGGTCGATTCTGTTTGTAAATTGCAGTATGGTTATTGGCTATTTTGTAAAGATATTGTTATGTTAGGAATGTCCTAAGAAATAACCTGTTCTGTTCGTGTAATTTAAACAATATGGTCTGTCGTTAGTAAAGATATTTTGTTATAAACCTTGCTATTTGAACAATGTCATTTTTGTAATTGCTATTTGATAGCAATATGGTTAATCCGATCTTTTTTCTTTACTATATAAGCTAAGAGTTTACATTTTTTTGCAAATACGAGATACAAGTAACCCCTTTGATTTGCTAAATGAAAAATTTATAAAACTTAAAGAAGGCTACAGCTTTAAATTTAATTCAACAATTGTCAGAATCTATTTTGTGTATTTATTTTTAAAAGTTGGCCACAATGCTCGACAAGTATGACGACAGTAGCGACTAGTAAATTTCCATCTGACGTTTCGAGATTAATCTCCCAATCGTCGGTTTTAATATTGTTTAAATTTTTCAATTTTCCCCGCAGTCCGGTAAGCGAAAACGCGCCCGAAACCGCCCGGCCCGTCGCCGGCAATGCGGCCGGTCGCGACGACAACATCTTCGACATCTTCAACATGCCCATCGTGCTGTCCGATCAAATCCTAACGCCCGAGAGCATCGAAAACATGCCCGTGTTGCTCGACGAACCGTCCAAACCTGTCGCCGTCACGGCGAAACCTAAACCTAGGCTGCAGCAAGGCGAAGGCGCCGCCTCCGCCGCCTCCGCGCCGGTTCAGAAACCCGGCAAATACATCATCGTATCGTCTCAAGGCGGAGCGGGAGGTGTCGTTCCGCAGAGGTTCGTACAGAAGAAGGCCGTCGTGAAGAGGACCGCCTTGCCTGCTTCTTCGTCGATATCGGCCAAACTAGGGGGTTCACAGGAGATCACCGGCAACAAAATTATGGTCGTTACCAATCAACAGGGACAACAGCAAAGGTTCGTTGGTCGTTTTTGCGCTAAATTGGGGTAGTTCGTGTGTACAAGGGTGAGGTGGAAAGTTCTAAACGTCCTTGGAAGCTTTCTAAATGATTCTGGAGCGTTCTGAATGGTTATAGACGGTTTTAAATGATTCTGGAGCGTTCTGAATGAGTTTGGAGCGTTCTAAATGGTTCTGCAACGTTCTAAATGGTTTTAGACAGTTTTTAATGGTTCTGGAGCGTTATAAATGGTTTTAGACAGTTCTAAATGGTTCTAAATCGTTTTAAAACAGTACTAAACGATATTGGAGTGTTCTGAACAGTTTTAATTCATTTTGGAGCGTTCTAAATGATTCTAAGAGCGATCTAAACAGTTCTAATTCATTTTGGAACGTTCTAAATAATTCTAAGAGCGTTCTAAACAGTTCTAATTCATTCTGAAGCGTTCTAGATGGTTCTAGACAGTTCTAAATGACTATGAATCGTTCCAAATGATTCTGGAGCGTTCCAAATGAATTTAGACAGTTATACATGGTTCTAGAATTAATTATAAAAAAATGTCCCAAAGATGAAACAACAATTTTTGCTGATTGGAGCGCCCCCAACGTATCAAGTCGAGAACTTTTCACCCTACCCTCGTATATGTGTAAAGTTAGATAAACGACCAAACCTAGGTTTATACCTAAGAAACCTTTCCTTCCTTACCCTACTTTAAAATACCACAATGACTTCTTTAACTAACATTAAATTCGTATTTTTATTAGATTATTGCTGACTCCGGCGCAACAGAAAGTGCTGGGCTACCAACCGGCCGGTTCGAAATTGACCAAAGCGGCGCTAAAGAGCAGCGTTATACGGAAAAACGTGGCCGTTACGAAAGTCGAGGCGGGTCCATCGAAGACGGTATCGTTCGTAACGCAAAAATTAACCAATACGGTCACATCGACGCCATCGAAGGCCGTCAAGACGATCGTCAGGAGCGCCAAACCGGCCGGCAAAACGCCCAAAACCATTCTGATAACGAACAAGCACGGTCAAACCATCAAGAAAATCGCCACCACCGAAGACGATTTGGACAAACAGGTGGCCGAACAGTTGGAGGCCATCAAGGCGAGCAGCGGCGTCCGTTTCGGCAAAACCGAATCGATCAACAGCAAACAAATCAAGCCCACCGTAAGGAAATCCTACTCGAACAAGAAGCAAGAACAACCGGTTACTAAACCGGTACCATCGAGCGAACCTCCTCCGTTGATAGCCACCAAGAAACCCCGACAACCCGTAATAGAATCGAAGAAACCCGATGAACCGGAGCGACCGCTCAACCAACTGGTCATACAAGACGCCATGGGCAATCAGACCACCATCACGGAGGGTCAAATTCTCGCCATACCGAGCGAAACCGTCGACGGTCAACCGCAATCCTACGTCTTGGTCACCTTGGATCGATCGGGTAATTTGACGCCCCTCAACAACGAAGCCCTGATGTCGTTGGATCCCAATTTGGGCCTGGGCGGCGATCTCAGCAACATGGTGTTGCAAATCGACCAAGGCAACGCCCTCGACAGGCCGGCGCCCCTCGCCCAACCGGCCACCGTCAAAATCGGCGCCACCGTCGAGGAACTATCAGCCGGTTAGTACCGAATTATATCTTAAAACTCGCTTATCAGTTGCTTATTCGATACCCTACTCGCTCTTACAGCTTCATACTATTAGCGATAATCAGAGTTTGAATTGCGTATATATCCGTTTACAGGTACATCGAAAATCGACGTTCCTCTACCGCCCGCCGAGCCGCCGACGGAGCCGCCCTCTTGCGTCGATCAAGGCCGGCAATTGATCGTCACCGGCGATCCGATAGCGACCCGAAAATTCCTCGAATCGCTCGCCGAAGGTTCGGCCGATTTGGCCGGCATCATAGCCAACGCCGACGGCAAGAGCATTTTAATCGAAGCCGACGGCCAACAGATACTCATCGACGGAGGGCAAGAGCACTATCCCAATCGCTCAGGCAAGAGCACCGACATCCTGGCGGCCGCTTTAGCGGACACTGAAGTCTTCGCGGCGGCGCCGAAACCGGCGCGATCGAGCCCCGACGGCGCCGCCTCGTTGTATCCGATCAACGTGGGCGGCGTGTCGGAGACGAGCCTGACGCTCGGCTCGCCCATCATGACGCCGCTGGAGGTGCCGAGCACCAACAGCAAGAAGATACCCGACGACGAGGCGGACATGTTGATAGCCGTACCGAAAAACGTCGATCTACCGATCACCATCACCGATCCGAATATATCGCAAACCGTCGCCAATCAACAGGTCGCTACGATGATAGCCAACGAGCTCCGGACGAATTTGGATTTGGGTTTGGGTATGGCGGAAACGTCGATCGCCAGCGTATCGGCGAGTCTAGCTAGTCCTGGTTATGGTGGTTATTCTCTACCGGTTCTGGATGATGGTGATGTTTCGCACAAACCGTTCGATAATAGCATGCCTTTGCTCGACGACGCGCCCTCTATCGACAAAAAGTCGGATTTGGGCGGCGGTTTTCTCGAAGAAGAGGACGAGGCGGGTGAAGGGCGGTTCACGTTGGGTGGGGCGGTGTGTAGCTCGCTGAGCGAGCCGCCGCCGGAGATGTTCGAGATACCCTACGGGGAGAACGACGTGACGTTGTCGTTGAGGAGTACGCCCGATTCGAAGGTGGATGAGGAGGAGGTGGAGGAGACGGATGGTTTGGGTTCGATGAGGGCGGAGAGTTCGAGCGAGGGATCGTGCGAGATACCGGTGCAGCCGAGGATCGTGGCCAAATCGGCGGATTTTTGCGGTATGTAAGGTGTGGGGGGCGAGCGCGCTGCGGAGCTCGAGCGGTGTATAGTTGAGATGGGTGGGGCGCGAGGGAATTATGTTTTTTATTGGGTTAATATTATGAATTGTTTTTGCATGTTTCATTTTCTTTTGACGAATTGATTTTTTTGTGGAACTCCAAATTCGACTGAATTTTTTTTTTGTAAATAATATTGTATAGGAGGTATAGAGAGAGAGAGAGAGAAAGTGAAGTTCGACTCTTGAAATTTATATTGTTCGATTGTGTTTTTTGTAAATAGTTGATATTGTTATGTACAATGGTGTACATAAAGAAATGCTTTTTAAATATAATTGTACGGATTAGTTTTCGTGTTACATTTATTAAGGAGTAACGTTAATTTTTAATAGCTAGCTATATGATGAAATAATTGATAATTAAATAATAATTGATGGATGTGTGTTTTTCCCCGTTTATTTTTTTTTGTATAGCATCGAATCGTCTTTTAAGAAGACGCCGAGAATGAGACGTAATATCCTTAAATCATTGTATGAATTTATTAAAAAAATTATTGTACTCACCGAGTTTTATTCGACTTTTTAAACGCTCCTTTTCCTACGAAAAAATATCCGAAATTACTAAAAGGACTTTTTTTTTCAAAATAGTGACGTTAAAAAAATAAAAAAGATATTTCGAAGAGGGCTAAGGTAGACTGGAGCAAATGTAAAAATGGGGTAAATGTAATATTTTTACCTATTATGTTAATCTATAATTAGACAGGGTTTGTTTCTTATATTTTATAACAAATTTTATAACCGATTTGCCCCAGTCTACCTTATATCTTTTAATTATTACACATTTTGAGCAACCGAAAAATGTATTGAGATCCAATGAATCATTTCTAATCGTATCATTTGCTAAAATCCGCAAATCTCGCATCGTGATCTTCTCCATTTCTCAACAAAAAAAAACTCGCGATAACGAGGTAGATGCCAAAAAAAACACCTCGAAAAATTTATCGATTGCACCTAAAAAACCGCGAGTTTCGAATCGCCCGATTAGCCAAATCATCTCAACATTTTTTCTCCTCAAATTCCCGTATTATTCACCGAAACCCAACCACGAATTTACTCTCTCGAAACCGCTCCACGGAGAAGCACCAGAAACATGGGAAGCATAATCTTCCAGCTAATCCTAGCCGCCTTACTAACGGTAAGTTAACCACCAGGTTATAACACATCCAATCGAACGTTCCGCAATTTTCAAGCAGCTCCCCAACCTCCGCTCGCAATCGCTCTCCCCCGAATACGCCCTCAAAATCGAAGCCATCCGTAAAACCATCAGGCAAGAAATGGACGACCATCGCAAGACCATCTCCACCACCAAGACCTACATGGCCTCGTTGACCAGCCGCGTCGGCGACGACATCCAGCACGAGATGAACGTCATCCGATCTAACATCCGCAACGGCAAAGAAGTGGCCGCCAGCCGGAACATCAAAATCTGCGAGTGCTTCCACATCCTGGACGCGCTCAACATCCCCAACGACACCTTCGAGCTGGACGTGAACAAGCTGAACAAGTGCCAGCACCAGGACAGCATGGAGTTCCTCGAGAACGAGCTCTCCTATCTGACCAACGTCCACGACACCCTCAACAAGACGGTGAGGCAGTGCATGAAGCTCGACAAGCGCGACCCGTTCGCCTTCCTCGACGACTGGCATCCCTGCATCGATCAGACGCTCAGCCAGATCGAGTGGAGGATCAGCTACTTCAGGCAGGTGTCGAAGGTGTTCGCCAAAGGGGCCTACAAGGAGTGCTTCGTGTGCTTGAGGAGCTTGAGCAATTTCTACAGGCAGAACATCTTCCCGGCCGGCCACCAGTACGCTGTTTGTATTTACAAGCGCATAGGGGAGGCCCTGTAGATTGCTGCACTTGTAAAAATTTTTGTTGGAAATTCAAATATAGGTACAGCAAACGATTTTTCGTTATTTAGTTACCGTTCCTTAGTGCTGTAGAGCTCTAATACTGGCGTTTATTGAATAAAATTTAAAGTTTTTGGCTTAAAATTTCGTTTACCCCACTAAAAGGATACTGGAAATGTTTGTTTGGCGATGATTCCGCATCGAGTCTGGAAGTAAAAATATTTCTTTTACTTTAATATTTAATATACGTCGACAACAGATTTTTTGTTTTCTTCGAGAGGACGATATATTTTCTCGAAGGGAACTTTCCGCGTGGAAAATCGTTAAATTAGAAAAACACCGGAGGCTCGGGATTTCGCATTTTACGGCCGAGTAAAATCCCCCAGTCATGTAAATTCCTATCTAATTAACGAGCAAACTTTCGCCGCGACTTTTTTTTATTTACAAATGAAGCAATCGAGTTATTTTTTTCGCGCGAAACGAAAAGAATATATTTTTTCAATGGAATATAATTTTTCGGATTCGAAAGATTGCCGCCTAATAGTTTCTCCTTCGATTAGCATTTTCCCTAAAAGCGCGACAATGCGGCACGTTCGGTATAAAAAACCGGAGCTCGATATGTAGGAGGACATGTCCTTTTGAAATTGGCGCAAAAATCCCCATTTGAATTCCGATTGCATGCGCGGAATCGCTTCGAAACCTTTCCATTGTACATTGGAAAAATATTTCGATTTAAAAATAAAAAACGCTCGGCAATTTTAATTTTCGACGAAAAACTCGCAGGATTTTTTCGACGCTAATCATCCGAATTGCGCCTTACACAGGACTCCGCTAATATAATCCGGGCTACGGCCGGACTTTGCCCGATCCGGAATATTCTCTTGGTCTTTTGATTGCCGACGGTAGATTCGAGTCACGGACTCGGAAACAAGAAACTCCAATTGGAACACGGAGAAGCAGCAATACCAATTCATTATATGTATATACAAGGTGGCCCAACTTCAAATAAAAAACCTCTTATTTACTCTAACAAATAGTGCTATACACAGGAGTATTATTATAAAAGGGTTTAAGAAAAGTTTGTGTAGGAAATAGGATGTGTATTTTAAAGAGTTTTAGGGTAGTGTATTGATTGTAATTGAGTATTGGAGCACCCTGTATACCGGACGGTCAGCGTCGAGTTTATCGCAGTAAAAATTGATGTCCGTAAAGCGAGTTTCCTTTCGAATTTTATTCGATTTGCGATACTTTTACTGCTTTTCGATTCGATTTGTGTAAAAAGATCCGGGGGTCGTCGACGGTGGATCCGGGTAATTGGAATTTATGCTTAGCTTTAAATGTGCAATGTATTCAAAATGTTGTTCAGCAGAAATTATTATCGATTATACTTTTTTCGGTAGGTAGATATATACCGGATGTTTCTATAAATTTAAACTGCAAGGACTCCCTGTAAACGAGAATCCTCGATCCAGGCTGGAATAGGACGACAGTCAATATCCCGCTAACAAACCGAAGTTTATTAATCGAACCTTTTGTAATATTTCCAATGAAACGTCCATCTATATACCGTTTTAAAGCCCTTATAGACCGAGAACTTCCGAACTTCCGAACTACCGGCCCGACGTTTCAATCCACTTTTCGCTCGAATTGTGCGATCCCGACTCCGAAAAAGTAATTTCGCCCGACACAATCGAAACCTTTTACCGCTTGCTCCTGTGGAAATTCACTTAAATCGCGCCCCCGCCGCCGCCCGGCGCTCATAAATAAAATGGGGCTAGGCGGGCCCCGGCCGAAGAAAGAAAAGCCTGACCGGGTGAGTTTTATTCGGGCGACCTTTTCGGCGGAAAACTTGATATCGCGATGCCGGAGGTTTATCCCTCGAAATGGACAATACAGAATGGGCCATACAAACCCGAATGGGAAGACAATTCGCGGGATCTATACCTTGTAGATGCTTCTAATAATGCATCTGATAATTGCTAATTTATAAGCAGTAAGTAGCAGGATTAATTCATGTATAGTTTGGGGGAAATTTAGAATCGTCCTGTACATTGCAGAAATTTTATAATTGGAAAGTTAAAACCCCGGTTTAATCCCTCTCTAGTATTTTATCAAGATAAGCTACTTATACTTAAACTCCGTTAAATTCCAGTAAAATATACAACCGAGTAGTAGAGAATTTTTAGTTAACAAGTAAAAAAGCGCCAGGGGCTTTAAGGATATTCGAAATAACAAAGTTTTCGTTTCCAACAATCCTACAGCAAGTAAAAATGCACCTTATAAAAATTAATTAAATCGAATTGATGAAGAAATAATTGTTGATTTTAACAGAGAAAAAAGCACTGTTTTAGGGACTGTTAAATTCCAGTAAAATATACAACCGAGTAGTAGAGAATTTTTAGTTAACAAGTAAAAAAGCGCCAGGGGCTTAAAAGATATTCGAAACAACAAAGTTTTCGTTTCCAACAATCCTACTGCAAGTAAAAATGCACCTTATAAAAATTAATTAAAACGAAATGATGTGCCTAATAAAGTGAAGAAATTGTTGGTTTTAACAGAGGAAAAAAGCTGTGTTTAATGTGGAATTTTAGGGACGAATCGAATGAATGTAACGAAAGAAAGAATTATGGTGTAAAACGATGGTGTTTCTGTTATCCTTTCGGGCCACTTTGGCGATCCATAAACAAGCATAAATCAAGATATTATTCGGTCCCCTTTTAGCAGCTGTTATCGTATCAAGTATATAGCGGGGCGATTCGTATCCGAAAATCTGGCGTTGTCACCGAGTGCTTTGCTTTCGGCTGATTTATATCGCATATGTGGTCTAGAGTAGTTTACAGAAAATGTGTATTGAACGTATGGACTAAGAACAGCCAGGATTTCGCCGTATATACCGTACAAGAAACCCGGTGATATATCGTAATCCGTTAGAAACGATACCGCAAACATCGAGGAAAACCGCGTTTTAAATCATCGTTTTTTTCCCATCCAAGCAAGTGCTCGCCAACCGTAAATTTCCGCCGAACTTTTCGATATACTTTACTCACAGTTTCGCCCAAAGTCCATATTCAAATTGCCACCGGTTTCGTCTACGCGAATTAATTTATTATCGCAAGCGACACTATTACATATTTATAATACAAAAAAAATAACTTTCCGGCTAAGCGGGAAATTCCTCTTCGCCTCCCCATTTCCCTCGTCTAATATACTCGCTGGTAAACATCGCGTTCAATTTGTGCGGGCGCTTTGTCACATTTTTTCCGCCGTTATTTAAATTAAGCGTTCGGAACGCCGGATGATAAAAATGAGAAACGACCGCGCCAATTACGCAACTACACCAATTCCGATCCCACTTCTGATCCCACTTCTGATCCCACTTCTGATTTGAATTTTGACCAAGCAAAGGAGAATCGCTACTAGTGTGAAAATGCTGTTTTGGAGCAAAGGAGATCTCTTCGTTACTGTTTTGGTTGGAAAGCGTTGGGGAATTTCGCGCAAATATTATGGTTTTGCAATAAAAACACGGAAGCGGTCACAATGCGTTTTCAGGGCGCAATCAATTTTAATTGTTTTCTTAGGTCTGCAAATAGAGCGGGGCCCTCGAAAAACGCGAAAGCGAGCCGGCTAATGCGCTTCGGAAAAATGGATTTTCGCGAAAATGAATTTCATTATGCCGGTTTTCTCTCGGTCTTTTTTAATTCGACGGAGTTTGTGCGTCGACCAGAAGTTGGTTTGTTTCGCCCGCGGTCGTGTTTGATTCGCTCGCGAAAGGAAGATTTATGCGAAACTTATTTTTTTCGTCCGCTTTCGCCGCGAGGAATTCCGATTCTGAAAGGAAACCGGGAATATTATTAAGTTTTTTTTTTTTGTAATTTTCAATATCGGTGAGGAACTTTGCTATTCGCGGAAAAGTGGAAACTTCCATTGAATCGAAGCGATTGTTACCTTCAATACAACCACCGAAGTTGTTGATTGCATTCTTTGTGTATTAAATAAGAACACCTCGAGTAAATACTGCAATTAAAAACCCAAATCATCGAAACTACACGAAGAAAAAAAAACCTCTCAGTAATGTCCTAACCATCTGGCGTGGAATAAACAACCCCCCTCTGGCCCCCGATAGAACTTGGAGGGAATGCGACAGGGGGCGCGCAATGCGGTATATACGAGATCGTATGTGTCGATTTGCCATCCGGCTTTAAAAAGGGAAATAAAGTGACACCACCTGTGAGAAGGAACCCCCGGTCTCCCCCGGTCTCCCCCGGTTCGCCCCCCCCAACAGCGCTTATTCGAATCGAAAAACGTTATTCAAATTTTACGGGCAATTTCTCATGTTACTTCGCTCGGGGATTTTCGCGCTTAGGCGTCATTGTAAGTAGTTTATACGGAAATGGAATGATATGGAAAAAAATACACAATGTAATGGACGCTAAATTGTGCCGCAAAACGTCAAAGCTAGTTTATTGAATGCATTTTTAAAATTCGTATATACGGTTTATTTTGATATTAAAATTTTATTAAACAATGAACGTGCGGCCAATTCTTTCGCGAGTCCTCAGCCCGGGGAACAATTACGGCCAAATTGAATATGAAGTAGTTCGAATATCAAAAACAATAGAAATAGTTAAACGAACTGAAAATGTAATTAAACTCGACAATTAAACTCTTTTCATTCAAATGAATAATTTTCATCGCGGCAACGGGCGAGAGAATAACGAGACAAGCGCGGGGGACGCGGAGGAAATTAATTGGACAAAAAGCTATTCGATTTCGTCGTTAGTTAAGTACGCGATAATTGAATCTTTCGACAGGTTTTTCTAAATCTCCGTAATTACCGATTAATTTGGTACTTTTTTTACTACCTAGATATGCTTGTTTGTGTGTAAATGTTCCACAAAAATTGTTACCTTAGGATATTTTCCGTCGGTTTCTAACGGTTTTCCCGTACGCACGGAGCTTTTACGACGCTTCGGTTCGTAAAACCGTGAAACTTTGACGTTATATATAATAAAATGGAGCGCTCGAAGTTCCATCGT